GGGCGTGCGGCCCTACCGGCCCGGCGCCTTCCGGCGTCCCCAGGCCCTCAGGGCAAAGGAGGTGTCCGAGAACCGGGGCGCCGAGGGGGAGGCAGCCCGGAGACCTAGTCGGAGCTTTGGCGGGCCGTGGGCTCACCGCTCCCGCATAGTGAGAGCCCGCCAGGGACCCCGCGGGAGCTCGGCATTAGAAACACCGGCTCGCGTGCAGGTCGGGAAACAGGCTTTGGTTTCAGGAAATTTCCTCAGTGGTGCGGCTGGGCCCGGCTCCTCACCTGGTGCGACCCCGGGAACCCAGCCCTGCTCCCGGGTCTGCTCCTGGGCAGCAGAGCCTGCAGCCAGGGTATTGCACCCACCCCGAGGGGATGGAACTTCAGACCAGGGGGGCTGCGTGTGGGCACTGCAGGCGTGACATACGGCAGAGATGGCCTCGAGGCAGGCGATGTCATCCCTACCTGTGGGCTCAGCGGGGTAACTCTTTTGCCCCAGACTATCCTTGTTGCTGCACTCTCCACCCGCGGCTTTGTACACAGAGCCTGGCTCTGTCTGGTTTCTCACCGTGCGCACGGCCGACTTTGCTCCAGACGCTGCTCGCTCAGGCGTTCCAGCCAAAGCCCCTGAGTTGTACTCAGGGACGGTTCTGAGGACTCGGGATTCCACAGATGGGGTGACTGTTCACCACTTTGGCTGTGGTTTTCACTTTGCGCTGGCACCTGGCAATGTCCTTTTCTTCCTTTTGACTGTGACTATATATTCAAACATCTTAAACAGTACTTTATCCAACCCTGGTGTTTTTGCAGCGGGAGGAAGGGTGACTGTGTCTGCCCAATCTCCTGTCCTGGTTAGACAAGCCCCTTGTCTGTCTTGCTCACAGCGATGTCGCCAGCACCCAGCACAGTCCTTGACACAGAGGAGGTGCTCGTGTTTATATTTGTTGAACCCGTGAATTTCCATTTTATAGAGGAGAAAACAAGAGGTCAGGAGGTAAAGGGAGCGCTGGAAGCCCCCAGTCATTCAGCGTTATTCAGTGCTCGGGTTGTCCTTCCGCAGGAATCTGGTCTGCAGCCCTGAACGGGGACCTGGGCCGAGTGAAGTATTTAATCCAGAAGGTAGCGGACCCCAGCCAGCCTGACTCCGCCGGCTACACGGCTCTGGTGAGCTGGGGATGAGCCTCACCGCGTTCCTGCTCTCTGGGGGTGGGGAGGGGATGATGTTTGCATTTTCTCTTCTCCCACCCTTCCTCCCCTCCCAGCAGGGTTTCTGTTTAAGCATCCTGTGAACCTGGGGCTTTTTAATTAGCATAAGTGCTTTGTATTCGTTATTTAACTTCATTCTCATAAGGATTCTGCGAGGTAGGAATGGTCATTATCCCCACTTTACAGTGGCGGCGACTGAAGCTAGGAATGAAGGCTCACCCTTGTCACCCAGGTGCCGGAGGGGGCACCCCCCACCGGGGTTCTGCCCCCTGACCCCCGACTCTGTTCCCCCCAGCACTATGCCAGCCGCAACGGGCACTATGCCGTGTGCCAGTTCCTGCTGGAGAGCGGGGCCAAGTGTGATGCCCAGACCCACGGGGGAGCCACCGCTCTGCACCGGGCCAGCTACTGTGGGCACACGGACATCGCCCGGCTCCTGCTGTCGCACGGCTCCAATCCCAGGCTGGTGGACGACGACGGCATGACCAGTCTGCACAAGGTGGGTCCCCTCTTGGAAGTTTCACAGGTTGCAAGAACTTGTCTTCTCTCATTAGAAAAGTTATAACATGGGACTTCCCTGGCCATCCAGTGGTTAGGACTCTGCGCTTTCACTGCCATGGGCCCAGGTTCAATCGCTGGTCGGGGAACTAAGATCCCGCAAGGCGTGGCCAAAAATAAAAAAGTAAAAGTTATAATGTGTTCACTGTAGAAAACATGGGGAAAACAGAAAAGCATAAAGTAGAAAATTGAAATCATTTGTAATCTCAGTGCTCGCCTGAGTGCTCACTCAGTGCTCACTTTCGGATTAACGTATAATTTTCCAGCATGTCTCCTGCGCACATAAATTAGAACTAAACGTATGGCGTCATTTTCTTTTTCTTCCCCTTAATGATGTGTCCTCAGTGCTTTTCCACATAGTTTTCTGAAACTTGCACCCACTCTTGCTTATCCCTCTAGTCTGCTTTCCACACTGTGATCGGAGTGATCATTTAATTAAATGTTTTCTGACTAGAAACACCTACCCGCTGTGAACGGTTTGAGTACAGAATGTCTACCGTGGACACAAGTTTCCCTCCCCACCCCCGACCCCTGGTCCCTTAGTCTTCCCTTCCCTCCCTTAAGGCATCTGTTTTTACCGATTTCTTGTGCATCTTTGAGACACAGTTGACGCATACTTACGGCCTATGTGTGCAAACCTGTTCCTCTCTTAGCCCCACTGATTTTCTCCCAGAGTGATGGTTTAAAAGCAGTTCTGACCACGCAGTGCCTTCGAATCCCTCGGAGGCTTGCTTTTACCAAGTCCTTAAGCTGCTTTACAGGCCCTCTGGGGTCAGCCCCTGCCTACCTGCCAGCTTGTCCTTGCCCCGCTAGCATCTTCAGTTTCTTGAACCTGCTTCTCTATCACTTGCAGGCCATAGACAACACCTCTCCCCATCCGGAGGCCTCACATCACCCTTTTCCCTCTGACTCGTGTCTGTCCTTCCCTCTGGGTTGCAGCTTCTGCGTCACGCCCTCAGAGAGCCTTCCCGTTTCCTCAGAGGAGGACAGCTCACGCGCCTGGCTGCCGGAAGCTCTCTGTGCTTGACTTCTGACTCCTCCCCCTTGAAATTCCCTGTGAGCTCCGTCTCACCGGAGGCGCTGGGATTCGTCCTGTTTCCTGCTGTGGCCTCAGCACTTGCTCAGGTGCTGAGTGAGCAGCTGGGGGTTGTTTTGTTTTGAGACCCTTGCTGGTTGGAGAGGCAGGTCGCTCGTTTCTCAGTGGTCTCAACTGGTGTTGGCTTGAGTGTTTCACTGCCACAGCTCACATGATGGGTGTTGATAGGCAGGACACTGCCGTGAATGGACCTAGCTGGTGTCACCCGCGCTTGTGGCATTCTCGTGAAATTGAGGGAATGCATGTGTGTGAGGAATATGAATTGCCCCTTCCTTCCAGCTTGCTTGCCTCCCTCCCTTGCTTCCTTCTGCAAACATTGGCACCTTCTTTTGCCAACAATTATTTGGAATTCATCTTACAACTGCTCACAACACACGGTTGCCTGAATTGAAGAGGTAAAATTGAGAGTCCCAGGTCTGCACTCATCAGGATAATATTTGTGCTGAATAAAGGTTTAGATTCAAATTTGAGATGGTGTTTGGTACTAACATTAACTTTGCTACCTTTCAGGAGCCCCCCGTAGCCCTTTAATTTGTCTCTTGGGAGGAGTAGGGAATATAGTGATACAGCATAGCTACTGATAGTTCGGACTTTGAGGTCAGACAGACCTGGCTTAGAATTCCCCATGCTGCCACATTAGCTCTGTGACCTTGGGCGAGTTACTCAACTTTTATAAGCCTCAGTTTTTTCATCTATAAAGTGGAAATAATGATACTTCCTACCTCTGATGGTTATTGTAAAAGTTAAGTAAGGTAATCTATGTAAATCACTTAACATTGTTCTTTTTGGGAGGATATAGGTTAGAAACTGACATCCAGATTGGGATCGTTGATCTCCGAGGGGACGAGGAGAAAGCTGGGTACTGGGCCTGTTTCTCTCCGCTCATCTGAAAGTTCCCAGAGGGCAGGGGCCATGTCTGATGTGTCTTGTGCCCACGGCACCCAGCACCCTATAGACAATCTGAATGTTTGTAAAGATGCTTAGAGATCCAAGGTTCTGTCCTTGTTCTTAATGTGCAGGCCTGGGCAAAGAAGCATGGCCACTGAGCAAAGGACACAAGGAAGAAAAGCTCAAGCTGACTGCCCAAGTGGCACCAGGGTGCCCCACCACCCTGCAGCACGTCATTGCAGTTTGGCTGGGGTTAGGGGAAACCGGCTCAGACGGCCAGTGCCTCCATTTCCACGAGACCTTTTCTCAGACTAAAAGAGCCCCAGAAGTGGAGCAAGAAAGAACAGGGCCCAGTGGGGTACAGCTTTTGATCCGGGCCTCTCTCCCCACAGGCCGCCGAGAAGGGTCACGTGGACATTTGCTCCCTCCTCTTGCAACACAGCCCAGCCCTGAAGGCCGTCCGGGACCGGAAGGCACGACTCGCCTGTGACCTGCTGCCCTGCAACAGCGACCTGCGGGACCTGCTCGCCAGCTGAGTCTCTCCGCTCCTGTCACGGGCTGCGTGTGGGGTACACAGACTAGCCCTCCAAGCCCCCGCCTCGGTCAGCGCCCGAGCCGCAGGGTGGGATCCTGAGGCTGGAGGACCCCGGAAGAGCCCCATTCTGGCCACTGGGGAGGCGAGGGCGGCGATTTGGTGGGGCTGCAAGTACTCCAGCCTGGACAGATGACCGTATTCTAAATTAGTTCATGTGGAAACATCTCTCCGTTTGGAAAAAACAAAGTTATATCCTTACCTCATCCCACGCACAAAAATAAATTTCGAGAAAAGACCCAAATCTGAAGATACAGAAGTATGTAAGCATGAGAAGAAACTGTGGCACGTGTGACAAATGAACAGCTGCTTTCTAGCCGAGTGACCTTGGTACAAGTCACTTTACCCATCTGTCCTGCGTCCTCATCTTTTTTTTCGCCTCGTGGCACGCAGGATCTTAGTTCCCCTGACCAGGGATCAAACCCGTGCCCCCTGCAGTGGAAGCGCAGTCTTAACCACTGAACCGCCAGGGAAGTCCCCTGCGTCCTCATCTCTAAGGTGGGAGTGACTACAGTGGGGCTGCCTCGGAGCCCACATGGGGGTGAGACGAGTGAATACCTGGGGAGTGCTGGGGAGGGTGCCCGGCACCGTGCGGGCAGTGTATGGGAGCTCCCACCTCCCCAGAACCTGACCAACACTTGGCGTTTATAGTAATTTCATTCATTTTAACCATCTGATAGACTACAAAGTGCTGCTGTTTTGTTGCATCGCTAATTGCTAGTGAGGTTGAACGCCCGTCTTCTGTGACCTTCCTGTCCGTACCCTTCGTCTATCTAAAATTTTTCTCTTTTTTGATTCTTAGGAGTTATTTATGTATTCTGGATATTGATCCTTTGTTATGTATATATGTACATAATTATATCTTTTTTCTTTTGTCTTTGATGCTGTTCCTTGTCTTAACTGTGTTTATCTGTTCATGGAAATTGGTTACCACCTGTGTGGACGGCAGTTTGGCAATATCTATTAAAATTTAAGTGAACAGGGCTAATACGTTGATTTCTCTGTAGGTCCCTAGAGAAATATTCATCTGTGTGCACAAAGATGTTTGCTTTGGGGGGTTTTTTTTGGGCCTCACTGAGTGGTTTGCGGGATCTTAGTTCCCCGACCAAGGGTCGAACCCATGCCCCCTGCAGTGGAAGCGCTGAGTCCTAACCACTGGACCGCCAGGGAAGTCCCCAAAGATGTTTATTTACAGAGGCATTTTCAAAAATGTGGATTGGAGCATGAGGTGTAATGTAAAAAAAAAAAAAAAAAATTGCAGAGATAATATAAGTGTTCGCAGCAGGGGGACAGTGAGGTTCTGGCACTTTGAGTGCAGTGTATGCTAATGTGGTAAGAGTGCTGAGCCGTGATTACGTGAAGTATGTAGAAACATGTAGGTGCGTACACACACCACACAGGAGGAGCATGAGGAAGCTGTGTGTTAAACTGTACCCGCGGCTTCCCCGGGCTCCATGGCAAGAGTACTTAACCAAGGGTGTCCTGAGCTTGATTTGCTATGTTTGGAGTTTTTACCAGAAGTAAGTTTTTTCTTTGACAAGTTATACCAGTATTAAGTTAATACCAGTTAGGTCTTCTGCTGAGAATCTCTGACGCAGCCTGTGGGTGCCCTTGCCCTCAGCCGCTGGGGGGGGAGTGTGTGGCGGCAGCGGAGGCCAGAGCTGAAGTCCTGCTTGTTCTCGTCGGCTTCCCCTCACTCTTCCTCCAGGTAACTGTTTCCCTTCTCAGGGCCCCCGGCAAGAATCACCTTTGACAGAAACACCCTGGAGCGTAAGGATGGAGTTACTCTCAAAAGCTCTGCGTGCCCCGGTCCGGGAGGGTCCCGCATGCCGCGGAGCGGCTGGGCCCGCGCGTCCGGAGCCTGTGCTCCGCGGCCACAGCAGTGAGAGGCCCGCGTACCGCAAAAAAAAAAAAAAAAAGCTCTGGGCTCCCTGGGTCTCAGAGCTTGGAAGCAGTCACCAGGAAGCCAGCTGTGGTGGGGCCTTGGGCTGCCCTGGATCCTCAGTTGTCCCTCCCGCTGGCTCGTCCTGGTCATCTGTGCTGACGTTGCTCCGAGTCTTACTCACTAGGAAGTCTGACAGCTAGTGACTAAGACTCCAGAATCGGAGTGACACGAGCAGTCAGATTTCCCTTCAAAGGTCACGGCAGAATTCAAGGCGCAGCTGGGTGGAAGACGTGCTTGGTGTCTTAGGGAGAATTAGGAAGTTTGGCTTTGGTAGCTGCAGACTGATTGCTTTGCAACTGGCTTAATGGTTAACGTTTGTACTCGGACCTGCAGCGGATCTGAACCTCACCTTCCTGGTGAAGGGCATCTCTGTGCCCAGGTCCCTGGTGGGGGACCTGCGTGTTGGCCGTGGGAGGCTCCTCGAGAGGCATGAGGGGCTGATGACGGGCTGGGCTTGGCTTCTGATGGTGGCCTAGCTTAATCGTTGACCTTGACCGTCACAGTGGTGAGGGAGCAGGGTGGGGTATCTGGGGAAGGAAACCACCACCAAGAGCAGCCCAGGCGGCCTGGAAACTGGCTGGGAGTTGGGAAATCCCTTGATCTCCTCCCGTAGCAGCCAGGAAGCTTCTTGAGGCAGAGGTCGGCCTCTCGTGCCTGTCCTCTAGAGGTCCTCCTTAGGAGTCTGGCTTCCTTTTGCCAGGGCAGTTGGGCTGGGTCTCCCAGGGTCTCAGGCAGCCAGACCTACGGCAATGTGGAGGCTCACTTCTTTTTCTCGAGGGCATCCGCACTTGGGAGAATGGGAGCTATCTCCCCCTGAACCTGGGCTGGTGGCCCAGCACCCAGGATGTGTGTTTATTGGTTGAATCACTTCTGAGTAGGTGCGAGGGGGATGGCACAGGTGCAGGATGGGGGGTGTCTGAGGATGCAACTGACTCAGCTCAAAACAGCTCTTTCTCCCGCGCCCGCAGTGGGCTGTGTGCCCACACTGGTACTTTGGTGGGTGTTATGGAGCCACAGAGTTGCCTGGCCGGGGCCCGAGCCTCTGCCCTACCCCCCTGGCCCCCGACAGTTCTCCTATAAAAGGGCTGAGCTGTTCGGCTCCTCTCACTGGGGGCGTGACGAGCAGGGGGGGTGGGGCATGGACTTCGTCAGCATCCAGCAGTTGGTGAGGATGTGCAGCGGAGGCCGGGCAGTGGTCTGGGCACCCCCAGACCGTCTCAGCAGAACGCGGAGGCCGGGCAGTGGTCTGGGCACCCCAAGACCGTCTCAGCAGAACGCGGAGGCCGGGCAGTGGTCTGGGCACCCCCAGACCGTCTCAGTAGAACGCAGAGGCCGGGCAGCTCCTTTCTGGTGCCTGAGGAGGTTTTAGGAGTAGAAACCTGTACTTCTTTTCCGGCCTGTCTGCCTAGTTCTCGTGTGAGGTGAGGGGCCAAGGAGCAAGAGAGAGACACGGTGAGAAAGGCGTCTGGCGATGGTAGACGAGAAAATCCTTGAGTGTAGTGGGTTTTGCCCTGGACTGTGATGGCCAAAGAGGAACGAGAAGTGGCAGATTACCCCGGAAGACACAAGTGTGGTTGGGTGTTGGCTGAGCTCAGTTGTGTTGATGGTCTTTGCTGGGGAAATGGTCTGGAGGGTCTGGCTGCCTTGGCTGGGGACAAGGAGAAGGGCGCTCGAGTTCCGTGGGCAGCGAGAGAAGCAGGCACACCAGTGACACTTTGGGACGTGTGTTGTGAGGCATGGGGCATGGAGGGTAGCGAGGCCCGGGCGTCACTTTGCCCCACAAGCCCCGCGGCGGGCCAGGGCCCTGCTGGCCGCAGCCCAGGACAGCCGCTGCTAGGAGGCGGGTTGCAGGGCCCAGGAAGTGTTAGGCTGCCTAAGTTTGCTTTAGAAGGGAATGGAATGTAGTTCTACGTGGCTGGAAGCCCTAGGCTCTGCCGTCGTATCATTCCAGCTTTTTCTCTCCCCTCAACGTGCTTATTCCTCAGGGCTCCCCAGCCGCTGAATCACGGGGCTGGGGGCCAGGGGAGGAAGAAAAGAATGGACCATTGTTTGGTGGGTTCTGCCCTAAGCACAGCACCAGTAAGTCATTTCATCTTTATAGCAAGAGATAAGTGCTAGTTTTACCCCATTTTATTATGAAGACACATAGCTTCACGAAGAGCCAAAATTTGAACGTAGGAATTCAGAATTCTATCCGGGAGGCACCTCCTCCGTCCCCCCGGGCTTGGGGTCAGGTGGCAGTGTGGTGTGATCGGGTAGGAATGCAAGGACAACAACCCAGGAGGGAGGCCCTGAGCTCACCTGGACACAGCCGTTAGCATAAATAGATGCGGCATCAGCAGGGTTCCTGCTGGCAGGGCAGAGGGAGCATGCCTGCTGACAGGACAGAGTGAGCAGCAGTCAGCCCCCGGGGCTCGGGCACTGCTGCAGGTGGTGAGAGCCAGCGACAAGCACGGGGGTCAGGGAGCCGGCGGGGGTCGCTCTGCCATGGAGCTTTGAGAGGGGTCCACATCCAGGTCGCTAATCTCTGTACGTCACGTCAGCTCCTGGCAGGACTCCCCTGTCTGGCACAGTTGTGTTTTCTAAGGGCTCCTTCTAATTTTTCTGATTCTTTGTCTGTTCCTATAGGTGAGTGGAGAGAGTCGAAAGGAAAGATTTGGGATGTGGACACGGAGTGCCTGATCCTGGAGGCCGAGGCCCGGGAGAGGCAGGAACTGGACGAGGAGAGGAGGAGTGTGAGTGGGGGCGGGCAGGAGGCGCGGGCAGGTGGAGTGGGGGCGCCGCGAGCCCGGGGCTCGGGGGCTGACAGCCTGGGCGCGGCGCTTCTCCTGCGGCTGGGAAGACGAGGGTTAGAACCACCAAGAGCTGCCCCAGGGTTGCCGTGGCCAGCAGCCAATGGCTGGCGTGGTCCTGTTTCTGCCCGCTTTCTGCGCCAGCAGTCCCAGAGCTAACTTGGAGAGCCTGGCTGACCTGGAAACATTGGTTCGAAGACAGAGAGAAAAGCGACTGAAACGCAGAGTCCCCGCCAGGGCACCCGAGCCTGAGGTCAAGGTGAGCGGGAGTGCCACACCAGGGCTGGAGTGCCTGAGCAGGAACCCCACCCCCCCACCCCGCCGTCCCTGTGGGAGGCCTGGGGAGGAGTGACACTGCCGCCGCGCCAGCTGCACGGCCCGCACCAGGGAGCCCTCCGCCCCCAGCGCTGTTTTCCACGGCTGCTGCCGGAACCAAGTACCCCAAACTGGGGGCTTAAACAACAGCTATTTATGGTCACCTCAGAGGCTGGAAGTCCAAGATCAAAGAGTCAGCAGGCAGGGTTGGTTCCTTCTGAGGCTCTGGGGGCGGATCCGTCCACACCTCTCCCCAGCTTCTGGGGTTGGTGGTGTTCCTAGGCTTGTGGCCTCATCGCCCCGATCTCACGTGGCCTTCTCCCTGCCTGCGTGCCTGTGTCCAAAGGTCTGTCCCTTCTCAATAAGGACACCACTCGTATTGTACCGGGGCCCACCTTACTCCAGTATGACGGCATTTTAACTGATTACAGCTACAATGACCCCATTTCCAAATGAGGTCACGTTCTGAGGTACTGGGGTGAGGACTTCAACAATATGAACCTGGGCTTGGGGGGCGGAACACAAGTCAACCCGTAACCCCGCCCCGTACTTATTCAGTCAGAATCTTCTGGGGGCAAGTTTTTTTGTTGTTGTTTTATAATTAATGTATTTTTGGCTGCGTTAGGTCTTCATTGCTGCGTGCGGGCTTTTAGTTGCGGCGAGGGGGGCTACTCTTCATTGCCGTGCGCGGGCTTCTCATTGCGGTGGCTCCTCTTGTTGCGGAGTGCAGGCTCTAGGTGCACAGGCTTCAGTAAGTTGTGGCTCGCGGGCTCTAGAGCGCAGGCTCAGTAGTTGTGGCGCACGGGCTTAGTTGCTCGGCGGCATGTGGGATCTTACCGGACCAGGGCTCGAACCCATGTCCCCTGCATTGGCAGGCAGGTTCTTAAGCACTGCGCCATCAGGGAAGTCCTGGGGGCAAGTGTTTAAATCTATTGTTTGTATAAGCTAACAGTGCGCTGGTCCTCCACCAGCTCTTTGCAACCACTTGGCTAGACTGGTGAGGCTGTGTCCCAGAGGCTTAGTGTGGGGAGTGAGTTGATCTCGTCCTTGAACTTATCCAGCCGCAGCCCCTGGCCCAGCTGGAGCCCGTGGACCTGGAGGCGTTCCTGCAGGCAGCTGCTGAGAACCAGGAGGCCCTGACTGACGAGTACCTGACAGACGGAAGGGACCCCAGTGCCCACGACAAGGTAGCGAGGGTGGGTGCAGGCGTGCGGCCTTCAGCGTGGTCCAGTCAGAGCCTAGGAAACTGCAGGGCTTTTCTGCTTTATGGGGCATGGGTCCCACGATGCCTCCTGAGTCTGGAGGGAGAGGCCCTTCACACGACGGGGGAGTAAGCAGCTCTGTTCAGGGCACCAGCTCTGGGAACGGGGTCACGGGTGGGACCTCCGGGGGTGGCCGTGCTCCCTACACCTAACTCCCGTCCGCAGCACCCCAGCTCCATTGCATGGCCTGGCACTGGGCCTATCCGATGGGTCACAGCCAGCTTGTGAACAAGCTGCTGGAGGCGGCTGCCACTGTGGACGCTCGGGACTTGGTGAGAACCAGGGAAGGGCCATCCCCACGGCAGACGCCCCCCCCCCGATGCTCTTCCTGGGGTTGGGACACGGCCTTGCCAGCTTGGAATGACACTGAGCCTCACCGCTCCCTTAGATCTGGGGCACGCCCCTGCACATGGCCGTGCACACTGCGACTGCCTGCAGCATGTCGTCGCCTGCGGGGCCCGCGCTGACGCACAGGACAAGGTAGGCGTCTGGTTGTCCCGGGCTGGGGAGGCTCCACCTCTGGGGGCCATGACTAAGGCAGCCTGAGCTCAGCGACAGTAGCTGCTGACCTGACCCTGCCCAGGAAGCGGAGGTGAGGAGGACGCCGCCCCCACCTCGATAGGAAGGAGACATGGCTCTACACGAGGCGGTGCAGCCTACAGAGCCCTGAAGGTGCTGCTGCTCTCCGGGGCCGGGCTGGGCCTGAGAATGCGGTGAGTGCAAGCGAGCACGCGGGGCGGGCAGCTCCGGGGAGGGGAGCGGGGACTCACCCGGCGTCCTCGTGCCCGGGCTTCGGTGACCCCAGTGTAGCTGGCCCAGGACTGGCAGTGGGGCATCTGGGAAGCACTGCAGGCCCACGTGGGGCACCCCCGTACCCGGTGCCGACGACAGCCGATCCTCGGGGCCACTCGCAGCCACCATTCCATCCTGTCATCTCCGCCCCCGTGCCACTCACGTGTCTCACCCGCTTGCTCCTCCCTCGGTCACGACTCCCCGCTCAGGGCTGATTCCGCGCCTCCAGGAAGCCCTGTCAGACCAGCCTCCCTGGCTTCCCATCCCAGGCTGAGCTGGTCCCCGCCGGGGCGCGAGCTGGGGGCTGACGCAGAGGACCTGGGGGTGGCAGGCAGGTGCAGGAAACAAAGTGGGTCCAGATGAGGGGCAGCAGAGGAGTGGGGGGGCCCAGGACAGAGCAGCACGGGAACAGCCTCGAGCTCCTTGGGGCCGGTGCCAGGGCTCCTCGGTGCCCACTGGTCCCCAGTCCAGGAGGCGGCTAGGCTCTGCCCTCCACCAGGGCCCTCCTGCCACCAGGTGCTGACTCGGTGCATGGCCAGCAGCAGATGCCCTTGGGTGCAGGTTTCTCCAGGGGCCTCCGTGCCTGGCCATCTGGAGGGGGCTGCTGGACGGCTTTGAGCACCCCTGCACAGGCGGCCAGCCCCAGCCTGCTTGCCTCGGAAGCCCCAAGGCCAACGAGCTGGAGCTAATGTTTTAGGGAAACCTTGTGTCCTCTGTCAAAGGTTTCCGACAGGCCTGCCCGCTGCCCTCTGGTTGGCCATCTGGTGGCTCCCCTTGTAGGGGGACGCGCCTGGGTGCTGGGGATTGCTTGCGGCCCACTCAACTTTTGGGGTGGTGGCCCGTAACCCTACTCTGCCTCCAGCACTGACGTCAGTCACCCCCGCCCTGGTACTAGAGTGCGTGCTCTCACCTGGCCCCTGCAGCCGCGGCCATTCTGCTTCACCCTAACCCTTGGAGGCAGGACGTGGAGGGCTCTGAGCTCACCTGCTCCTTTCCCTCCTCCAGCGACTGGGGGTGGCCCGAGGCCCCACCTCCACAGGCTCCCCTAAAGCTTCCCCCCACCTCACTGTCCTTTCCCGGTCATGCTGCATTGGTGCAGACCTGTGTGCTGTACTGCTGGCGGGCAGGGTCCTTACATGCCAGAAGGTGAATCTGAGAACAGCTCTGCCCTAAACTGAGAACCACAGGCAGAGGGTTGGGCTCCAAGATGAAGGTGAGCCTCCCTCACATAAGGAACCTGGGTTGATATCCATTTTGCAGCAGTCATTTTTAGTCTACCTGGTGGCCTTCTCAGGCCAAGGGCAAGGCAATTTCTATTCTGTGAAAAAGCCGACAAGAGCTCCCAACAGGGGCCACACGCCTTCCCCTCACATGGGCACCTCCTGCCCTGTCCTGACAGAGCCCCGTGCACCCAGACGCTGGGGCCATGGGAGAAACAGGCGTTCAAGTCCATGGACAAGACACTTCCCATCTAGGAAATGGGGACACTTAAGTGACAGATAAAAATACCTTTTTATACGTATCAGTATTTTTTGTTCATTAAAACCGGTTGATTATCCATCACGGCCTGGTTTTTTTTTTCTGGGCTGAGAGGGGCCAGTTCCTCAGAAACTCAAGCCTGATAACCATGCCGGCCTGACAGCAAGACAGGTCCCCAGAGGCAGAGCAGGTAGGAAGACCGCCTATTAGAATCAAGAGGGAAGATTTGAAAAATCCTGATGTCCAGATGGATTAAATCAGAATCCCTAGGTTTGGACCCGGATATCAGCATTAGCATCATACAGATGACATGCTTGTCTATGTAGGAGATCCTAAGGAATCTACAAAACCAAAAAAACAGGGACCTTCCCGGCGGCCTAGTAGTTAAGACTCCGCACTTCCACTGCGGGGGTGGGGGGGTGGAGCACAGGGTTGATCCCTGGCCGGGGAACTAAGATCCCACATGCCACGCACCGCAGACAAAAACAAAAAACAAAAAAACCCCACCTAGAATAAGGGAGTTCCGGCAAGATCTCGGGATACAAGATAAACATACAAAAACCTTTTTTCTACATACTAACAATGACTCTGAATCTGAATACTAAAATTAAACACACAGTACCATTTGTAATTGCTAAAAAGAAAACCCACTTAGGTGTAAATCTAATAAAACATCTAAGGACCTGTATGCTGAAAACTACAAAACGCTGATGAACGACACCAAAGATTTAAATAAATGGACACATACACATGGACTGAAAGATGCAGCTGAGTAAAGATGTCAGTTCCACCCAAATTGATACACAGGTTTAACACAGTTCCTACCAAAATCCCAACTAGATTTTTCTTTGTATATGTAGACAAGATTATTCTAAAATGTAAAACTAAAACAACTCTGGAAAAGAACAAAGTGGGAGAAATCAGTCCACTTGATTTCAGGACCTATTAAATTGCTATAATAATCAAAAGACAGTGTGATACCAGTGAAGAGACAGACGCATCGTCAAAGGAACAGAACAGACAACCCAGAAATAGACACAGCAAATATGCCAAAAGATGCAAAAGTTATTCAACAGATGAAAGATATGCTTTACAACAAATGGTGCTGAAAGAACGACATCTATAGGCAAAAAAGAATTTTTTTAAGAAACAAAATGGATCACGAACTTATAAATTAAAACTGTAAAATTTTAGAAAAAAGACAATCTTCATAACCAAGGACTGAAGAATTCTTAGACATGACACCAAAAGCATAATCCATAAAAGAAAATCAGTGAGTTGTAATTCACCAAGATTTTAAACTTTCGCTCTGCAAAAGAATCCTGTTAAGAGGATGAAAAAATAAGCTACAGATTAGGAAAAAATATCTGCAAACCAAAAACCCAATTAAAGCCTAGTGTTTAGAATATATAAAGAATTCTCCAAACTCAGCAGTAAAAACAACAATCTAATTAGAAAATGGGCAAAAGACATGAACAGACATTTCAAAAGGTGAAACAAGCACATGAAAAAATATACATTAGCCATTATGGAAATGCAAATAAAACCCACAATGAGATAGCACTACACACCTACCAGAGTGGCTGAAATAGAAAATAGTGACAATACCAAATCCTGGAGCGGATGTGGAAAAATACTCACACGTTGCTGGTGGGAATGTAAAGTTGTACAGGCACTCTGAAAAAGTTTGGCAGTTTCTTTTAAAACTTAAATATGCAGTAACCATACGACCTGGCAATTGCACTCCTAGACATTTAGCTAAGAGAAAAGAAAACCAATGTTTACACAAGAACCTGTAATGAATGTTCATAACAGCTTTATTTGGAATAGCCAAAAACTGGAAACCACCCAGATGTCCTTAGACAGGACAGTGAGTATATGATGGAACACCACACAGCAATCAAAAAGGAATGAGCCACTGACACGTGCAACAGCCTGGAGGAGATTCCAGAACATTATGCTGAGTGAAAAAAGCCAGTGCCAATGGTTACATACTGTAAGATCCCATTTATACAACATTCTTGAAATGACAAAATTATAGAGATGATGGACAGATTAGTGGTTGCCAGGAATTAGGGACAGTGGCCAGAGGGGGTGGGAGTGGGGCTCTAATAAAGGGTCTGTTGGAGGGAGATCCTAGGGAGGAACAGTTCTGTATCTAGATTGCAGTGGTGGTTACACAAATCTACATGTGATAAGATGCTATAGAACTATACGCCCACATTGCACCAGTGTCAGATTCCTGGTCTTGATACTGCATTGTAACTATGTAAGATGTAATCATTGAGGAAAACTGGGTGAAGGGTACATGGGACCTCTATCTTTGCAACTTCCTATGAATCTGTTAATTATTTCAAAGTAACAAAGTTACTTAGGGAAAAAAAAAAAGCAATAGCTCTAAATGCAACTTGGTATCCTGGATTGGATCCTGCAACAGAAAAGGGACATGATGGAAAATCTGATAAAAATCCAAGTAAAGTCTGTAATCTAGTTAATAGTTTTGTACCCATGTTAATTTTTTAGTTTCGATAAATGCACCAAGGTTATGTGATATAACATTCAGGGAAGCAGGTGTGAAGGGTATATGTGATCTGTGAACCTAAAATAGTTTTAAAGAATAAAATCCTGATGCCTGGACTGATTAAATCAGAATCCCTGGGGGCTGGGCCCCAGGTATCAGTATTTTTAATTTGCCAGGTGATTTCCAATGTGCAGCCAAAGTTAAGAACCACTGTTCTGGAAAGAGAGAATTTTAAAGTCCACTTCCCACCTGGGTTTGCTCCTGGAGAGAATTCCTTGAGAAAAGTCTCTCAGTGAGCATGCCACTGTTTTTTGGCCTTCATTCCCACTGATCCTGGATAAGGACGCAAATACCTTTGGGAAAGGTTCCAGAAATCCTGCCCCCTCCCCATCCTCGGTCCCTGTGATGCCCTGGTTTCTGCGCAGCGGAAGCACTGTGGAAGGTGAGTTTAGGTGAACCAGAAGGCGAGACAAATGCCTTCTCCTTCCTGCTTCTCTAAAACCCCAGAGCTAGAAAAGGAAAAAAGCAAAGAGCTTGAAATGTTTCAGAGATCTAAGAAAAACTCCGATGTCATGTTCTTTTTTTCCAAAGGATGGAGAGGGTTCTACCTGGTTCACAACCAGCCCTGGCCGCCCTGGCCGCCCTCCGCGCACCTGACAGCCACGTGGTGCCCCCAGGGGGGCCACGGGCTGCCCTCCCCGGAACCCCACGACAAAGGCTTAGGTGCAGCAGAGCGGTCCCTTCCTCCCATGTGACCTCTTCTTAAAACACAGGAAACGACAATACTGTTAGTGGCGACTGAGCCAGGCAGGCTGAGGAGTGGCAGGAGGAAGAGGTTCCTCAGCCCCGCGGGGCCAGCGTGAGAAGGCCACCTGCACAGGAAGGAGCGGGGCTGGTGTGACAGGCTTGCTTCCAGGTTTGGCACATGGGACAGGCTGGGCGCATGCTCTGAAGCATGGCATCGTAAGGGAAGCCAAAAAGGTCACAGTGGCCAAGGCCATGGATGTGAACCCCCAGCCCACACTGGTGCTCCTGGTTTGCTCAACAAGTGCTGCCAGCAGCAGAAGGCTGGCAGATTAAAAGCAAAGAGAGTACAGGTCACGGCCACAGAAAGGCAGTAATCGTGCACTCACATCGTGGCTTGGCCAGAAGAGGTATAAATACACTGCACTGTCACAGGGAGGCTGGCCCAGGGACTGGAGGTGGCACTGTTCCTTTCATTCCGTTCGGAAGCAGGCCTGGAGGGCTGGTCCCGGCGGACCCCCATCTCCTAAAGGGGGGCAGGACCGGCTGAGGCTCCTGGCACCGGCCTCTGGTTCTGAGGGCAGCCAGGACCCGCGTCCCCGAGGGCCATCTAAAACGTGGCCTGCAGGGGATGCGGACAGGCTGGCAGGAAGCCGCTCCTTGGCTCGCTCCAGTTCCCCACGTGGTTGTCCGTTCCCCAGAGCTGGGGCTGCCTGCCAAGCGGTTAAACTCCCGGGTTCCGCCCAGGGCTCTCGTCCGCCGGGAGGCCGGGTCTGCTGTGGCTGGACCCTAGAGGGGAGAGGGAAAATCAGCATCGGAGCCCGCCCGTACAGGCAGCGGGTCCCCTGACACCAGGTGTTCAGTCCTCTTTAGGGCGTGAAGGGGCAAGGGGGCAGGGGGCCGAGGAGCCTCAGGCCTCCTCGGGAGCCATCGAGGCAGAGCTGGGAGCATTTAGTTAGGAAAATGCTCAGCCTCATGAGAGAAAACCACTGCCAGGACGGATGCCATCACTGAGAGGCAGGGCTTCTGCCCGTGGGAGGCCGAGGCCATAAGGCCAGGCAGGAGGCAGCTGCCCAGACAACACAGCAGGCACTGGAAGGGAGCTTTTGTTTCCAAGGCTGAGCAGGCATCTCATGGTCCCTCCTGCCCTCCAGAAAAATGAGATGAGAAGTATCAACGAGGGACAGGAAGCAGCCACTCACCCCCATGGCGGAGTGCCCCCCATCTGCGGGGAGCGGTCTGCAGCGCCCCCCAGCAGCTAACAGGCCGGCAAAGGAAAGCAAAGAGAAGGTAAAGTAAAAGGCGAGATATTTACCTTGCGTGTTGTCTTAAAACAAAAAATGCTCACTAGTCCACAGTCAATTATCAACTGCAGTTTCCAAATGTGCCAAAGAGGGAAAGGCCTACTGGGAAAGCTAGAGAGAGGAGAGGGAAAGGGAGGGAGAGAGGGAGGGGGAGGGAGGGGGAGGGAGAGAGAGAGAAGACCAGCTATGGAGCTGCTCCGGCAGAACCGCTCCGCTGGGGCAGCTTGGGCCGCACCGCAGAGTCAAGGCCGCGGGGGTGAGAGGGGCCCAGGAGGCTCGGTGTCAAGCTCGGACTCTCCCTGGGAATCCCGCTCCGGGATTGATCGATGTGGAGGGGGTTTTCCGAATGTGAAGCAGCGGACCAGGGCTCCGGAAGGTGTTTCTGTAAAGGGCCAGTCTTCTCAGGCTTTGCAGGCCTCGGGGGCAACGAGGCAACTCCACCTGCAGCCGAGTACAGTCCCTCAGCAGACGGGCACCTCCAGTAAAACGTTACGAGAACAGGCAGATTTGGCCCTCACGCCATTTGCCGACGCGGCTGAAGGCAGCTGAAAATCATCGCGCGCTTCCCAAGCATTTCAGACACTTCTCTGCTGAGGAAGCTAGAGCCAGTCACCCAGAGGATGGCTCCGACCTGCACCGTTTCAGCAGCGCCCCGGGGACACGTCCAACACGTGTAGTGACACTGAGCTCCCCGGGCAGCGAAGCAACAGGTTAACAGAGATAAAGTGCAAGACCCTGAGGGCCGCCCAGGGCCAATGTCAGGCCGCACTTAGGGGAAAATCACCAACATCATGACTACAGAACAGGGGCTGCTTGGTAATCCGTTACAAAGAGGAAATGACCCATGAGCCACTAAAAACGATTCTCTCAGAGGACTGCCTCACGAGCCACTGAAACCACAAAAGGATTAAAAAACCTCTGGGTATGTGATAAAAGATGAAAGGAAAAACCAGGATTCTTAGACTGAAGTTTGTACCTTATACACAACCTGTGCAGTCTGAGCAGCAGATGAAGCCAGAAAAGGCTCCCATGTGAGAAAACCAAAACCAAATGGCTCACATTTTGAAAAACATAAACGTCCCGGCTTCCGAGACCCGAGTCTAACTTGATGGTGCGAACCTGTGTGAGGGGTGCCTCACAAAATAAAAGACCATCACAGTGGGTAAACAGAGGCGCGGGCTCCACCCTAAGAGGTGAATGAAGGGTCCATTCATTCCAAAAGGACTGCGACCAGGCCAGTATCCAGGACCCAACACAACCCCCCAGGGTCCTTCACCAGCACCACAGATGGAGCTCACAGGAGTGGAGCCACCGACGCAGCTCAGGAAGCACCTTTCCATTATAAAAACACGTTTCCCTTCTCAAACGTGGGTCCGGTAACCAAGGGTGCACCCAGTCTCCAAGCCAGAGTGCCCGTCTCTCCCGGCCTCCGACTATTCACCTGTAAAATGGGCGTGACAACTACCACCTCTCAAAACTTCAGGGAAGTTTTCTTAGATGAGTCAGGACGAGGAGAGCCCTTAGCTCAGTGCTTGGCATGGGAAGTGTTCCGTTAAGAGCTTGGCGTCCCCACTGCTGGGTAAGGGGGATGGAGCACAGGCAGTCAGGCCCCTGCAGTTCCTTCCACGGCCTCTCCCAAGCCCCGCCAAGCCCCGGAGGACCTCAGACCCCAACCTAGGAGCTCGGTCAGCATAAAACTACCTTCTTGAATAACAAGGACAGGAAAGTTCCCTGATGTGTTTTACCGCCACCACCCTCCCACCCAAAGCCCACACTTCACAGGCTCCTTTTTTATTTTCCCTCCTTAACTCTAAGGGTGGGGTTTCCCATCCCACTCTGCAAAATCTGTTTCTTCCTGCTCCCAGTGGAATGCCTGGATGGGACCAAACGCCACAAGAGGTGCTCTTCTGGGTTTTGGGGATGGTGTCCACCAGCCACCTACCTTCTGAGCCAGGCCCACCGGTGACCCAAATCTTCACTTTCTAGGTGACCTGACCCTAACCCCAAATGACCCAATACAGCACCTGAACGTGACCGTACTCGCACTTAGCAACTACGGTTAACCCTTGAACACGCAGGTTTGAAGCGCGTGGGTCCATTTATATGCAGATTATTTTTCAATAGTAAATACTCCAGCACTACACAGGCTGTAGGTGGTTGAATCTGCGGATGTAGAACCACAAATACAGAGGACCGACCACGTTATACACAGATTTTTGACTGCACAGAGGGTTGGCACCCCTAACCTGCTGTTGTTCAAGGGTCAACTGTATTCTCTAATTAAATCAACCCACCCTACAGGCCCTGGAGAGAAAATGCTGACTTACGTGCTCTACTCAAAATGTCAGCTGACCTATAGCTCAGCGTTGACGAGTTATTAAAAACACAAGAAGGGGGCTTCCCTGGTGGCGCAGTGGTTGAGAATCTGCCTGCTAATGCGGGGGACACGGGTTCAAGCCCTGGTCTGGGAGGATCCCACATGCCGCGGAGCAACTAGGCCCGTGAGCCACAACTACTGAGCCTGCGCGTCTGGAGCCTGTGCTCTGCAACAAGAGAGGCTGCAATAGTGAGAGGCCCGCGTACCGCGATGAAGAGTGGCCCCCACTTGCCACAACTAGAGAAAGCCCTCACACAGAAACGAAGACCCAACACAGCAAAAATAAATAAGTAAATTAATAAACTCCTACCCCCAACATCTTCTTAAAAAAAAAAAAAACACACAAGAAGGGAGAGAGAAAAGAACGGGGAGACAAAAGGGAAAAAGAACAAATGTAGGGCAGGGCGAGGGCAGAGAGAACAGGTCTGTGTGTGCAGCCAGGACGGCAAAGGGCACGCTCGCCCTGGGGTCAACGCCGCAGGATGCAGCCGCACGGGGCTCACCTGTGGCTGCGGCTGTCTTGTCACCAAGGAGCCGGGTCTGGCTGCCTGGGACGGCCTGGAGGTCCGCGTTCTCAGGGGACTGCGGCACGGCCTGGGCTCGGGTGGCCAGGAGTGCATTGAGGTACTGCAGCCGCGTGACCTGGGGCACAGGAAGCGTTGCAACTCGTGCAGCTGGACGGAGAAGGTGAGGTGAGGGGCCACACCCCTCCCTCCTGCCCTCAAGCCCCCACACCAGGGTTGGGGGGTGGGGGGGTGCGGGGCGGAAGCGTTGTTAACATCTCCAAGGAAGCTGGGTGCTTAGGCCACCAGCAGACAGAGGGGCCAGGCCATCCACCCGTCACAGCAAGTACAAGGTCTTGCTCTGGGAAGTCTCAGATAGACTCAATCAGAATTTATTCTTAATCCATTCAAATGTGTGACCAGCTGGTCTAGCCCTTGGGGACGCAAAGCTGGTTAAAAGCCAGCACCAGTGAGCCGCCCGGACGGTCACCTTGATGAGCTGCAGGTCAGAGAGGGCCCTCACGGTGTAGTCAGGACAGTATGCAGACAAGCGGGTGCCTTCGGCGGGCTCGGGCAGCGGGTCGTGGCGGGTGGACTGGAGCGAGGACACCGGGGACTGGTGAACTATGAGAGGACAGTGGGTGACGGAGCGGGCCAGCCCCACCCAGCCTCTGAGATCCACCCCACAAATCACCCTGGTGAGGGAATACAGCCAGGGGCTCTGAAAAGGATGGCAAACATGCTCCTCCTGGGAAAAGTTGTGCAGGGGTGGGGAGAGCAACAAAGATGAGCCCCGAAGAAATGCTGCCCCACCCTCCATGCAGCCCGCAGGTGAGAAAGGCCAGCAGGTCCCAAGGCAGACTGCCTCACAGGAGGCATGGGATCTGCAGGAAGGACAGGCTGGACACGGGGCACTGGAGAGCCTCGGCAACGCCCATCCAGCCGCCGACCCCTGCCTCCAGCTCTGGGACGGCTGCAGCTTACCCGAGGACGGCGCCGTCAGGGCGGACACTCCATAGTAGGTGAAGGCCCCATTCTCGAACTTCAAGCCCTCTTTCCCGATCTCCACCTCAACCCTGCCCTGGGAGGTCGGGGAAGAGGGGGAGGAAAGAGGGACAGGGAAAGAAATAGGTGGACAGATTATCCTTCCTGCCAGCAAAGAGCACAAGGAGAGAGCACCGACCCCACTTATCCAGGGCGGGTGCATCTGGATCTTCCCTCCTCTTCTCAGACCCTCCCCACTTCCTAAGCAAGTGGCGGGCTCCAGGCCGGGCTCGCAGGTACCTGCAGGATGAGGATGAAATAGTCCACCGGCTGGCTGCGCTGGTACAGGTAGTGGTGGGCGGCCAGGCGGTCGCTCTCGTCAAACCTCACTTCCTGGTTGACGCTGGGATGCTTCAGCAGGTGCAGCAGGACCTTCTCGGAGATTCGCAGCGGGCTGAATACATCCACCTCTGCCCCACAGGGGAAACAGGTGCGGGGACAGTGTCCACCAGGCCCAGCGCAGCCCGTGTAACCGCCCGCCCCCCGCTGCATGCCTCGGCTCCCCCAGCCTCCCACAACACCCACCCGGCCGCGGCTCTCCACCACCCACGGAGGAGCCGCCTTCAAGTGACCCAAGCTAATGACAGGGCGGCAGAGAGAGTCACCAAAGTTCTCCTGGACACCCTCCTGCTTACTGGGAATGGGGGGGGGGGTCTCCTGATCCACTGGCCGATAAGCAGGGACGGGGCCCACCCTCACCCTCACCCTCACCCTCACCTCGGGAAAGGAAGCGCTGGGTGGCCAAGAGCAGCTGAGGCGAGATTTTCACTTTATAGTCGTCGTCAGACACCTTGAACAGGGAGAATTCCTCCTTCTGCCTGAGAGGGGCGCTCAGGGACACAGGCTGCTTCTTCACCACGGCGTCCCCTGGGGCGGGGGGAAGAGGGCCTGCTTAGGCTCCAGCAGCCCTCCATCACCATGACCGGACCAAGGGGCACGGTGCCTCTCCCTCCCCGCAAGGCCTCGGGGCTCCTGCGGGGGGACAGCATCAGGGCACTGCTGTCTTGACGGCACCTGGCGGCCACTCCACCCAGGCAGTGATCTGGTGCCCGGGCAGAGGGGCGGCAGCTTGCATTCCAGCGATGTGCCGAGAAGGAGCAGCGAGGCCTGCTCCCTCCTCAGAGCTGGGGAAGATAATGCCCACGTGATGGCAGACAGCTTATGTAAAACAACAGGCCCCTCGCTAGAAAGCACACGTTCGACGATTACTGGTGCCAAACAGCCGCTAACCTGCAGACCCCGTGCCTACGGCAGTCTGAGATGCCAAACCAAAATGCTGCATTTGGGGGACAGACACGTGGGCAGAGATTCACTTCCAAGCTCACAGGGCGGGCAGCTCGGTGTCCCAGGGGGCCCACGTGAGGCCCGCCGTCAAGCATGGCCTCTGCGTCTGCCCTGCAGACCACAGCTGCCATCCCAAGAGTCAGGCACTTCTAAAACACAATCACGGGCCCCACGATCATCTGTTTGGGGAAGAACCTCTCAGCAGTAAAGAATGGGCTTCTTTGAGAAGACACTTCTATACAACAGAACAAGAACGCAAACGGACCAAGATAAAGACTGGGAAAAAGCCCGTTAAGGGCAGAGCTCCGGGCAAGCCCTGGGACTGCAAAGACACCCATGGGACGCACGCCCGTGGCTCTGCGTCCAGGCACACGTGAGCCCTCCCTCCTGCAAGGGGCAACCCCGGCCACGCAGGGGTAAGGAGACGGGGCCTGGGTACGTGACGGCTCTGACCCGAGATCCAGCCCCGCTTCTGACAACACGGAGACCTGCCATCCTCTGAAACACACACGTCTCTGTAAGCTCGAAAGACCGGCTGAGCCGGAAAAGCGCCAGGGCCACGACTCACGGTAGTCTTCAGACTCGTCCAGGATCTCGGACTTGATGATCTCCTCGATGACGTCCTCCAGGGTGACCAGGCCCAGCACCTCGTAGAAGGGGTCACCTTCGCCCTCGTTGTTCACCTTCTGCACGATGGCCAGGTGGGACTTCCCTGCGGGGAAGGACGCCTGCGTTACAGCTTGCTAGGGGGCCTCCTACTTTCCTTAGTCCCACGTGACTGGCCCACCACAAGGACAGAGGCTGATGTCTATGTTCCCACAACAGGCCCAGCACCAGGAGAGACTCTTCCTAGGTGCCCGTGAGGAGTAAGTCTCGGACCCCAGGTCCACCTGCCCAAGTCCCCCCAGGCAGCGGCAGAGCTGGAGTCACCCCGGGTCTGTGCGACTCCACGCCGTAAACGTGGTTTAGACAAGGATGCAACCGGACCAGAACAGACACCGTAAACAGCAGCAACCGGACCGTGGACACAGGGCGCCGACACCAAAGACGCTGGCTCCCCGGGGACAGTCTGAATGTGGAAGCCGAGAGGGGCCACCCCGCCTGAGTCTCCAAAGGGAGCGTTCCCAATTCTGAAGGCTGCCCTGTATTTCCAGAAGCCGAGGTGCATGAAAGTCACCCAGGGGATGAAGATGATGATAATCAGCCAGTTAGAGCCCAAACTGTGCGGGAGGAAGAGCAGGAAGCTGGAGCTCTTCTCCTTGCTCCTCGGGTGAGCTACCTGCTTGTTTTACGAGAAAATGTAAGCTTGAGAAAAGCCCAGCCTCAGAGTGCTGGGGAGTGTTAGGGAAACTTCAAGAATATACTCTCTGGGCTTCCCTGGTGGCGCAGTGGTCGAGAGTCCGCCTGCCGATGCAGGGGACGCGGGTTCGTGCCCCGGTCCGGGAAGATCCCACATGCCGTGGAGCGGCTGGGCCCGTGAGCCATGGCCGCTGAGCCTGCGCGTCCAGAGCCTGTGCTCCGCAACGGGAGAGGCCACAACAGTGAGAGGCCCGCGTACCGCAAAAAAAAAAAAAAAAAAAGAATATACTCTGTGTCAGGTAAGTGCTTTTTCTCCATAAAGCTTTATGCTTGTCCAAAAGCCACAGAATGTGGGACTTCCCTGGCGGTCCAGTGGTTAAGACTTCGCCTTCCAATGCAGGTGGTGCGGGTTCGATCCCTGGTCGGAGAGCTAAGATCCCGCGTGCCTCCGGGCCAGAAAACCAAAACATAAAACAGAAGCAGTATTGTAACAAATTCAATAAAGTCTTTAAAAATGGTTCACGTCAAAAAAAAAAACCATTTAAAAAAAGAAAAACAAAAAGAAACAGAATGCAAGCCATACAGGTAATTTAAAACTTTTGAGTAGCTACATTAAAAAAATTAAAGAGACAGAAATGAAATTAATAATATTTTATGATCAACTCAATATAATCAAAATATCATTCCAACATGCAGTCAATATAAACATATGAATAGATATTTTTCCTTTTTTTGGGTACCAAGTCTTTGATATCTGGTGTGCGTCTGGCACTCGCTGCACATCTCAATTCAGGCTGGTTACCGTTCAAGAACTCAGCGGCCACTTGTGGGTAGTGGCTACTGGACTGGACTGTGCAGGTCTAGGGTATGGAACTGAGAGCAAACTCATCTCAAGCGCGCCCCCTCCCTTTTTGAACAGTATGTTCTTTCGCTGAAGTGCAGCTGATTTGCAATATGGTTAGTTCACACTGTGCACAGCAAAGTGTTTCAGTTATATGTTTTCAGATTATTTTCCATTATAGTTATTACAAGATTTTGAATATAGTTCCCTGTGCTATACAGTAAATCCTTGTTGCTTATCTATTTTATGTATAGTAATTTGTATATGTTAATCCCATACTCCTAATTTATCCCTCCCCCCCTCCTTTGGTAACCATAAGTTTGTTTTCTATGTCTGTTTCTGTTTTGTATAAATTCATTTGTATTATTTTTTAGATTCCACATAAAAGTGATATATAATATTTGTCTCTCTCTGTCTGACTTACTTCATTAAGTATAATAGTCTCTAGGTTCATCCATGTTGCTGCAAATGAAATCACTTTATTCTTTTCTATGGCTGAGTAGTATTCACTTGCATATATACCACATCTTATTTATCCATTCATCTGTCGATGGACATTTAGGTTGCTGCCCCTTTTTATGACTAGTGAATAAAGCATAGGGTAAAAGCCGGCCTGGACCTGCATGTAAAGGGGTGCTTGCTTCAAGAACCCTTTGGTAAAGCAAAAAGTCAAGCTCACCTCTTTGTGTGAATCCTACTTTACATACCTCGGGTTCAATGACAATGTAGTGATTGGGTTTAGAAGCACATGCTTTGGAAGCAGCTGGCATGCCTCTGCCTCATTCTTTCAGCACCCGTGCCCCCTGCCCCACCCCCAGTAATCAGGTATAGGAAGACCTCTGCTCCAAAGTTGGACGGAATGAAAATGTCAAGAGTCAAGCAAAAGCTATTATTATTAGACCACTAACCAGATGATCAAGGAAGGAAGGAGGCTGTAAAAGAATAAAAAGATCACATTTACTGTATGTCATCAAATCCAAGATGTCATCCATCATGAGATATCCTGGTTAGAGAGATGTTAAAACACACAAAAAAACGTGCAACTGAGAACTGAAGAAATGCAGTACAGGCCTACGTCATTTCAATGTGCTTTGCAGATACTGCTTTTTTTTTTTTTCCAACAAACTGAAGGTGTGTGGCAACCCTTCATCGAGCAAGTCTATCGGCACCATTTTTCAGACAGCATCTGCTCACTGTGTGTGTCACATTTTGGTAATTCTTCCAGATTTTCAAACTCCATTATTATTATATCTGTTATGGCGATCTGTGATGTTACTATTGTAATTGTTTTGGGGGAGCGCCACCAACTGCACCCACATAAGACGGGGAACTTGATAGATACTGTGTGTGTTCTGACTGCTCCACCAACTGGTCATTCCCTGTCTCTCTCCCTCTCCTCTCCTCTCTCCCTGTTCTCTGAGACACAACAATGTTGAAATTTAGGCCAATTAATAACCCTACAATAGGCTCTAAGTGTTCAAGTGAAAGAAGAATCACATGCCTCTCACTTTAAAACAAAAGCTAGAAATGATTAAGCTTAGCAAGGAAGGCATGTCAAAAGCTGAGACAGGCTGAAAATTAGGCCTCGTGCACCAAACGGCCAAGTTGTGAATGCAAAGGGACAGTTCTTGAAGGAAATTAAAAGAGCTACTCCAGGGCTTCCCTGGTGGAGCAGTGGTTAAGAATCCACCTGCCAATGCAGGGGACACGGGTTCGAGCCCTGGTCCAGGAAGATCCCACATGCTGTGGAGCAACTAAGCCCGTGCGCCACAACTACTGAGCCTGCGTGCGCTCTAGAGCCCGTGAGCCACAACTACTGAGCCCACGTGCCACAATTACTGAAGCCCGCACACCTAGAGCCCATGCTCCGTAACAAGAGAAGCCACCGCAATGAGAAGCCTGCGCACCGCAAAGAAGAGTAGCTGCCGCTCACCACAACTAGAGGAAGCCCGCGCAGCAACGAAGACCCAATGCAGCCAAAAATAAATAAATAATTTTAAAAAATTTTTAAATAAATAAGAGCTGCTCCAAAATATAAAAATAAACAAACAAGCAAATAAATAAATAAATGTGCTCCTCCAGTGAACATGTGAATGGTTAAGAAAGCCAAACAGCCTTCTTGCTGATATGGAGAAAGTTTGAGTGGTCTGGATAGAAGATCAAACCAGCCACAACAGTCCCTTACCCAAAAACCTAACCCAGTGCAAGGCCTCACCTCTCAATTCTATCAAGGCTAAGAGAGGTGAGGGAGCTGCAGATGAAAAGCAGCTACCAGAGATCGGTTCATGCGGTTTAAGGAAAGCTGTCTCCATAACATAAAAGAGTAAGGTGAAACAGCAAGTGCTGATGGAGAAGCTGCAGCAAGTTATCCAGAAGATTTAGTTAAGATCATTAATGAAGGTAGTTACACGACACTACAGATGTTCGATGTGGACAAAACCACCTTATATTAGAAGAAGATGCCATCGAGGACTTTGACAGCCAGAGAGGAAAAGTCAAGGCCTGCTTTTAAAGCTTCAAAGGACACGCTGACCCTCTTGTTATGGGCTAATGCAGTTAGCAGGTGATTTTAAGTTGAAGCCAATGCTCACTTACCATTCCAAAACTCCTAGGGCCGTTGAGAATTACGCTAAATCTACTCTGCCTGTGCTCTATAAACTGAACAATAAAGGATGACAACGCATTGGTTTACTGAATATTTTAAGCCCACTGTGGAGAGCCAATGCTCAGAAAAAGGATTCCTTTTAAAGTAGTACTGCTCATCAGCAATGCACCTGGTCACCCAAGCGCTCTGATGGAGCTGTATGAGGAGACTAATGTTATTTTCATGACTGCTAACAAATCATCATACTGTAGCCCATGGATCAAGGAGTAATTTTTCAAGTCTTATTATTTAAGAACTACATTACATAAGGCTACACCTGCCATAGATAGAGATTCCCCTGATGGATGTGGGCAAACTCAATTGAAAACCCTCTGGAAAGCATTCACCATTCTAGATGCCATTAAGAACATTCATGATTTATGAAAAGAGATCAAAATATCAACACCGATAGGAGTTTGGAAGAAGCTGATGCCAACCCTCATGGATGACTTTGAGGGGTTCAAGACTTCATGAAGGAAAGTAACCGCAGATGGGGTAGGACGAGCAAAGGAACTAGAATGAGAAGTGGAGCCTGAAGGTGTGACTGAATTGCTGCCATCTCAGGATAAGACTTTAATGGACGAGGAGTTGCTTCCCATGGATGAGCAAAGAAAGTGGTTTCTTGAGATGGGAACTACTCTTGGTAAAGATGTTGCAAAGACTGTTGAAATGGCAACAAAGGATTCAGAACATCATATGAACTTAACTGATACGGGGCTGGGGTTGGCAGGACTGACTCCAATTTGGAAGAAGCTCTACTGTGGATAAAATGCTATCAAACAGCACTGGGTGCTTCAGAGAAATCGCTGGTGCATGGAAGAGCCAGCCGATGCAGCAAGCTTCACTGTCATCTTAAGAAACTGCCACGGCGACCCCAATCAGCAGCCACCACCCTGATGAGCCAGCAGCCACCAACATCGAGGCAAGA